ATGCCCACACGATTTGGGCTGAGGGTCTAGACTAGGGCAGTGTGGTTGTAAAACTGCCCGATAGGCTTCTCTGAAAATATTTGGTAGAATGAGAGCTGTCAGTGTCTTTACTCTTATGCCTTTCTCTGTTTACCTTCACCAGTCCACCCAAATTGTAAGGCAGTGTATACAGTCATGTTTATACAGTCATATCTCAGTTCATGAACTTAATTCTTTCCATTTCTGGTCGCAAACCAAATTGGATGAGAGCCAAATCACATTTCCCTATAAGGTAAACCTTGAACCTAACCACTGAATTTGATTCACTTCTCATCCAATTCAGTTTACCACCAGAATTGTGGGGAGAATTAAGTTCGTGAACCAAAGCAGCACTGTAGTAGGTCTCTCAGAGCCCTGACAAAGCGGGACTGAGAGAACTTTTTGGTGCTAATTGTGAGGCTACCTAGTGTGGTTCTCATCATGGCGGCCATGGCCTCAGCATGAATGTGAAGCCTGTGACCCTCCACAGGCGCACAGAGGTGGGGTGGGGTTTGTAGCTTGTCCTCTCCACTCTGCCCTACAGCAGCCAGAAAAATGAGAATGCCTGTCATGTTTCAGGTGAATCTAAACCTCCTCCTGTTGCCCATACGGTCCCTGTCCCCCTCTCCCGTTGTCTCACACCACGCTTGGCCTTCACCCTGCTCTGCCAGCCAGCCACTCCTGGGCGGAAACAGACACCCCTCACTTGCGCTCACTTGCGCTCACTTGCTGTTGCTTCTGTTGGGAAAGCTCTTCCCCAGACTGTCACAGAGATGTCTACATCACTGCTGCCTCAGAGACCCTTTCTTGACTGCCTGGCTTCCCAGTTACACCCTGGATTATATTGTTTTATTTTTATTGTATGCCTGATAAATACCTTCATTATGCATTTGTTCATCCTCTCAGTAGTTTACTTCTTTTTGTTCTTGAGCAGAATGTTTCCTGAAAGTAAGAAGTGAGTTTGGTGCTGTTTTCCAAGTTCCTAAGTAAAGTAGTGTTTGACTTACTTGTAATCAGAAAAAAAAAGAAAAGAATGTAAGTTTGTAGGAAGGGAGAAAAGAAGGAAGTTACGTTAAAAGGAAAAAAAAAAGTGTGACAGGTTAGTAGGACAGAGCAAAAAGGAAAGTCAGTAGAGATAGTAGTCTGGAAGGGTTAGGTGGGTGGTAGGAAAGTTGGCTGTCCGCTTCTATCTAATAAGGTAGCTTGTTGGTAGGAAGGGAAGTCGGTAGCTGGGTCTGGAAGGAGGAAAGGTTCTGTGTGCTGCCACTCTGTGGTTACTAAATATTTGACATGGAGTTCACCCTGAATATTGAGTTTGGAAATCTGCCCTCTCCCTTCCTAATCTATTGACTGTGTTTTATTGCAGCTGATGAAATTACTTGGTTGGACCCATTGCGCATCTTTTACTGAAAACTGGCTCCCTATCATGTATCCTCCTGACTATTGTGTATTCTAAAATAAAAACCAAGACTTTACATTTTAAAAGAGAAAGTTTTCTAGCAAATGGATATAAGAACAAATTTGTGGCATTTTTAGTCTAACGCATGTTTTCATCCACTATCAAATGCTGATCATTAAAACGATGTGTATTCATCAGAGAATTCACTGGCGTGTGGCTTAATACATGTAAATTTAAACCTCTGACATGATGGTGTTTTCTTAATACCTCCCCTAGCTGGCAGGGAAGGGATGTGCCCTCCTGCCAGCACCTGGCAAGCATTTTGAGTTGGGTTGCAGCTTCCTGCATGCATGATAGGTTTTGAATAGTAACCTTTAACTGCAAACCTGTATAATTCTATTTTTTATTTTATAAATGAACAGGGTTTTAACATGCTTGACTTTGATTTTTCTGAATTGTATGAAGGCCTTAAAGCTACATTAAAAGTAGCAAAAATTATTTATTGGACTAAAAATTAACCTCTTTTCCAGATTTTGTTTTTGTTCTTGTTTTTGCAAACGTTTACATTCAATTAAGAAGAAAAAACCAGGACAAATGTGTGACAGTTGCTGGACCACAACTGTTTCGGTAACTGTTCATCTTGGGCTAAGTGGGCAAGTCATTTTTACATCTTTCTGAAGTGCACAGCATCAGAGTGAGTCAGTAATATGTGTATAAGTGCCAGGCGGCTGCATCTCGGTCAGGAATTGTAAAGACACACACATGGTCTGTTTATTACAGTTGAAATAATGTAAAACACATGAACAAATGTGCAGACCAAGATCACAGTACACTAGATGCACTCTGTTACCTTAAGTTTTTATATAAATAATAAAAGTCAATATTGAAGCCTCCTAAAGTTGGTCTTAATTTTTCATAAATCAAATTTGGGGTTACAACGGAAATAATCCTTCGAAAAATGCTAAGCAGATAATTTATTTTATAATGTCTCTCGTCACTTGGAATTGAGTATATTCCCAGTTCTTGCTCTGTGATTAGCCTTTGTGTATGTTTAACTTTTTATCATTTTATCTTTCTGGTTACTGTTCCTGCTTCTCGTTCTGCCTCCATGAAATAAAAAGAAAGAAATAGATAACACTAAAAAGTCTGTAGTCACTTATATAGTAGCAGATTGTGTTTGTGTATAGTTTCTTCATCTTGTTCCCTGAGGGCTTCCTGGTATTCCAAAAAAAAAAATCTACCGGTTAACTTTTTCTAGTCATTCGTGCCAATTTTTATTTTATCTGCAGAAAGCATTAAAGCCTTTATGAAAAAATACAAATATGCATGAAACCTTTTTGCACACTTTCTGGAGAATCTAAGGTATAAAAGTCCGTGAACAGACATGCACGTTCTCTGGCACGTTGTGACACCGCTTCTCCCCACATACGTACAGGTCCCTGTACATACGTGGGCACACCCACAAAGCTAACTGAGAAGCCGAGGAAGAGTAGAATGACTTTGAGATCCTGCTGCTGATTGATGGAATGTTGGAACCTGTTTGACAATCAAGTTTTGCATTCCTAGTAAGTACCTACTGCCTAGGTCAGGGATTAGAAACTCTGTGTGAAGCCGGGTGTGGTGGCACAGGCCTGTAATCCCAGCACTCGGGAGGCTGAGGCGGGAGGATCGATGTGAGTTCGAGACCAGCCTGGACTACACAGTGAGTTCCAGGTCAGACTCAACTACAGAGTGAGACCCTGTCTCAAAAAACCTGTGTGTGAAGTTACTGGAACACCCAAGGCCCAATCGTGGATCCTAGGATGGGGCAGCCATGCAAAGCAGTACTTTGAAGGCTGTCCCCAATCAGAGTGGCCAGTCTTGCTCCACTCCCACTGGAAACAACCACGAGTTCGGTGAGAATGGATAACTTTTTCAAGAAACACTAGCACTACGGTGTGCGCTCGGTACTAATTTGGTGACTCCTTTCCAGCGATAGTAGATCCAGCTGTTACTATGGGAGTTTCAGCATCGTGGATTTCTCACTCCTTCCTAATAGCATTACCCCTTCCCTAGAATTATTGGCTCTTCACCCTCTCAGGGCCCAACTGGCCCTCTTCTTACAAGTCTCCAGACTCCTCATTGCTTTCAGAAAGTCCCAGCCCAGGCATTGCCAAGCCCAACCCCTTGAGCTCCCCGTTTCCTGGAGACAATTGCAATGTTGGGTTTAGTACATCTCTTCATGCTGTGTCACGTCCCTCTCTGCACTGTTTCATCCTCTCGACTCAAGCCAGCTCGCATGAATGCATGAGTCTTCCTTTTTGCCTGTAGGGTCTGTGTAAGGAGCCTGCATGTAGGGAGATGGGGCGTAAGCAGGATCCTCACCACTACTCCACCCACACTGAAGAAGAACCTCTTGAGAGGAGAGAGAATCTAAACTTGACTTTGTGAGTCTGAATGTCGTAAGCCATTACCAATGATGAATAGTAAACTGAACAAGGAAAGACTCGTGAATTCCTAGAAACTTGAAGAAAAGGAATGTGATTGCCGCTCTGACCGGAGAGGTTCTTCGCAGAACGTGATGGGGAGCTTGTCAGCTGCCAGACACCACTGCCCCCCGCTCTGCCTCCCAGTATCCGTGCCGTGGTGATGCCTCTGCAGCTGCGGTGTTGGCATCCCCAGCCCTCTAAGCAAAATTCACCCCGAATCTGACCGGGCCAGGACTTACCCGGAGTGTAGAGCACAAAGCAACGGGAAACACCTTCTGTAGTCCCCTTCATTTTCAGTACATTTGTACAGGTTCTTTATTAACGTACGCCTGCTGTGCGCAAGCTACCTCAGGACTGGCGTCTCCCAGCAGCTTGTTCCCTCATTTCACCTGGCTGGAGCAGGGCTGAGCCTAGCTGCACTTGGATTCTGTTTCCAAGCCCGGGACAGTAAAAGTTACAACTTACAGAAAGAGCCAAATTGTTTGCAAACAAGAGCGTTCGTGAACTGAGATACCACTGTATCTCAGGTAATCGTGTCTTTAAAATGTGGCCTCTTGTGAAGCAGATCTAACTGCTTATGGTTAGAATTCATAAGGAAAATTGACCGTTGCATATTGACACTTGGCAACCTTAACTTATAGATTGCCTATAGTTCCGGGGACCAGTGAACTATGGCTAAGGGCTTAATTCAACCCACGGCCTATTTTTATAGGCCAGGAATGATTCTTACCTTTTCACAAGTGACTGTAAATACCACAAAACAAGGAATACTCTGTAGAAACAGTGACTAGCTGGTAAGTCTAAAATGTTTACAAACTCGGGCCTTACAGAAGAAGTTAGCTGATCCTGGCCTAAAACGATCCTGTCATCCTTGAATAATGTTAAGTTTCATTTCTTCCATTTCAAATTTGCATGTTTTGTTTGCCTTATCACATTAGCCAAAATCTCCAGTATAATAGTAATAAACAATGACAAAGGGCAGACTTTTTTTTTTCCTCTCTCAAAGGAGAAGCTTAATTTTATAACTGATTTTTTCAGTTTATATTCTTTTATCAGAAAAAATTCCATTCCTTCTTAGTGTCCTAAGAATTTTATCATAAAAATTGAGAAAAAGTCAGGCAACCCAGAAAATTTAAATTGTCACACATAATTGATAGGGCAAGTACAAGTCCTCTTAAGTTCCTAACATACTATTTCCTCATCCCAGCAGTTTATTCTTCACACTAAATCGGTGTTCAGTCTGTAACTGTTTCCTGTCCCGCCGTACCCTCTTGAAGGATGGCAAAAGGTACATGGCAAAAATACATTAAGCACAAAACCCAGGCTCTACAGCAGAAGCAATAGCTTTTTCACTTGTAAAATTTACTTCAGAAGTCAACAGAGCTACTTTCCTGATTATGTTATTCCGTAGACGTTTAGGTTAACCAGCTCATCCTATTTTTGAGAGTTGCTGCAGTGTTGTTACTTTTGTTCTAGGTATACAAGTTCCCGTGCGCTATCTTCTCCATCTTCTAAAAGAAGTCTATGGGCAGTGCAGTTGCTTACAGCCCTACAGGTACACTAATACTGTGAAAAACGTGTTGCTCTATTTAGTCCCATTTTAGTGTCCCCTTGAAAAGCTTGACTGCTGACTCTGGATATTCGGCCAAGAGGGTTGTATCAAAAACTTGCTTGAATTTATCTAAAAATTCATAATCACTGCTGAACCTGAATTTGTTTGCCCAAAGCACTGCTGTGCCAGGCTTGGCAAGATGCACCATGGTGGTGAGCAGCTCATCCAGGAAGTAGTGGTGGTAGACCACATCGGAGGCCAGGACGTAGTTGTAATAAAATGTTGACTTAGGGAAGTTTTCTTCCAGATCTTCCCCCCACACCAGCTCTTTCACCTCAGGCGGATGGGCTGTACATTTCAGTGTGTTTTTTAGGAGATTGTATTGAAGGTTTCCTAGTATATCGGGCAGATCCGTTGCTGTGACTTGAGCTCCTGAGAGAGAAAAATGGCATTGACTACCTGGAAACATTTGGGCAGGCACAGCATCTGTGTACTCAGGGAGAGACCCAGCAACAACTGGGCTTCTCACCATGGCGCTGAGAGCAAATGGGCTGAACACAGTGAGGTAATGCAGGCTGGGTAATTGTGGGTACCCCTGTCCTTTGCGCTGTAGAATGATTATCACCCTCTTGAGGTCAGCACTGCAACTTAACCCCATGACCAACCGTGAAGATCATGCCTCTGGACTCTCAACTTGGTGGTGTGAAGACCTCCCTGAGACTCAGGTTTCCCCTGCTGATAGCATAATTCTTCCTACCAACATTTTGGGGAGAATCAAGGAGTGAAATCATGGCCAACTACACACACACAGCCTGTCCTGTTGTAAGCTATCATTGATGATGTCGTTGATGTCACAATAAAGGGCTTTTGAAACATAATCAGGAAGAATAATAGCAAACCAACCTAGAATACTGGCCACAATGGAAACAAGGCCTGGTCCTGCACCAATTTCAAGTACTTTAGCATCTTGGAGATTCAGTTCTTCTGCATGTTCCTCCAAATACTGGCACAAAACTGTAGCCTTAAAAAAATTAATGATTTTTACCATGAAATTAGAAACCAGTAGCATCCCCCACTGAACCCAGAGTTAAATACTAAAAGATGTCATTAAATGTCCACTATTGAAAAGTTCATAAGAATGCATCATTGCCGTATTTACACCTCTGGAATAGGACAGTTACGATAAGCTGCATCTTAGGAACTAGAAAACAAATTTGTTAAACTTCCTATACCAAATTTGACCAATCTGCAAAAATAATCTGGTAGAACAGCTTAGCTGTTACAAGTCAAGGAAATGGCTAAAAGCCTGGTCTCCTCTCCCAGGATTTTGAAGAGATGGCTAGAGACTTCCTTTTGAGGGTGCCCCAGTCCCATCATCTGGGGACAGTTTTCCTTGGGAACAGCTACAACTTTGCAAGCGGCCCACCCCTTAGCTCTGTTAGCAAAGTAAAGTGAGTGACCTCTTCCACAGAGAGCTGTAGCTGGGGTTCACAGAAAAGTGTCATGTACTTGCCCAAGCAGTTGTTGGGAAGCTGAGGTCCCAGGAGAGACTAGTTTGCAGAGCGTGGAAGGCTGACGTCTCAGCATAGAACACAGTGCACAAATCCTCTCTCCATTCCTGATCTCCCTGACCACTGCTGCAGTGGTCTGTTTGCCAACAGATTGGAATAGAAAGCTGGGAAGTCCTTCGTTATTTTCAGATTTGTAGTCAAGGTGGAAGAAAGCCTTGGATGGAAATTACACAAGTGCCTAAGATGTGAGCTGGAGCTACCAGTCCTCAGCGCTGCCTGGAGAGCTCCGTGCAACCTGCATCGTGACTGCTCAGCTCAGGGGTCCCAGGCCAACAGCTGAGCATTGCTGGGGAGTTTGGAGAATGCAGGGTCACACCCCCACTTCCATCCATCCAGGTCAGAATCTGCATGTTCAGGAGATCTGAGTGTTTCACAGACCCACTGGACCTTCTGCCCTGGAGTCTGTCTGAGCACTGAGGCCTCTGCTGCGTGAGAGCAGGGGTGCTGGCCCCTGACCCTAGAGAGAAGCTTCCCTAAGCACAGTGCCTGGCCCAGCCCACCTGCCCACAGTAATATTCACAGCTAAGTGGGCTTAGCTGCAGCACTTAATTGTCACAATGACATCGAGATGGAGATGTTGCCACCACCCTGTGTTTTAAATTGGAGACAATGGCAAATGGCAAGGCAGTGAACACCTGTGACTACATGGTTTCCCGGTGGCAGCACTGTATCTGCAGAGCTGTTGCAGGGGTGACAGGAAGTCAAATACACTTCCTTCCTAAATATTTCCATGGGAGAATGGTGGTGGGTATGGCCAGAAATGCCTACTGCAAAGCCTCAACTCTAAATATCTGGTTATTTTCCCTAACAGTTGGATGTATTTTGCATCCTACCTTCAAAATGACTGGGTTTATTTACCATAAAAATACTTCGAGACACAGTTTTAAAAACTTAATGCTTGGGGGCCCAGGATTTAGCTCAGTGGTTTCGCCGCCTGCATCGAAAGCGCAAGGAACTGAGTTTAATCCCCGGTACCAAAACAAAAAAACAAAAAAAAACTAGTGCTTGAGAGGGGTGCTGCACCCAGATAATCGGTCCTTCATATGCGAAGGACAAAAAGCAAATCTCCTAGCCAGCTGCCCAAGGCCACACAGATCTCCAGAAAGCCAAGCACGGCAGGTAGAAGGGTCCTCACCCCAGGCCACACTACCGCTCCAAAGCTCTCTATGGACTCCTGGATGATGATGCTTTTGCCTGCAAACCAATAGTGCTCCTGAGTGTAGCTGGCATAATCTGTAGGAACAAATTTCAGTAGGCTCAGAAGAGATGACTCCGTCTTGTTTGAACCTGTGAGGCAGGAAAAGGAGATGGGTGTCAGGAGCTGCGGATCCAGTGCAAATAAGCACTTGGTACAATTTGTACTGCGAGGAGACTAAGCCATCCTTGCCTGAAGAGAAGGATGCGGCCGACTGAATTAGCACAAGCCTGAGTTCCATGGGGTGCTGGAGACCTGAAAGTGAGATGCAACGATTTTTATAATAGGCGAAATGCCCAGAGTTGCCTTTAGTCTTTCCTTTCTTCAGCCGAGGACACAAGAGACGGGGACCCATCCCGACCTTATGCTTTTGATATTAGGAGAAAGCTGAAGACCAGCAAAATGATACAAGTGGGCAAGCCATCGGATAAGAAGGAGCTAGGCAAACATGAACCCGGCTATTTTTAGGTCTTGAAATGAAGTAACAATCCCCACATGCCAGCTGTGCGTGTTCATTAATTCCTTCCCATAACTGCCCCTCAAAAGGCACACGTTCTGGGCGCCTGTTAGCTGAGTCCTGCCTATTAAGTTACTGTGGCTTTAAATACTCCTTTAACCCCCGTGACCCATGACAGCAGTGCTCAAGTATCAAATAAAATAAGGAAAAGAGCAGCGGATGGGGCAGACACCACGGAATCACCGTTCATTACAGGCTTCCCAGGACGTCTCAGGATAAAAAGAACAGTGGTGAAATGTCAGGAAGGAGGTTGCTGAGCACACGCCAGCAGTGGGAAGAAGTTGGCAGGAGCCAGGGAGGGTGGAAGCCAGTTCGAGCTGCATGACACCGGCTTTTGTTGAGTGGGACATGACTAGAAGATTTTTCTAGTCCAGGAGCAGAATTTGGGCTTTGGAAAGTAGCTGGGGGCGGGGCTGCGGGGAGCAGGCAGTTAACTTGTGAAGTGCTCCAATCAGAAATAACCAGCTCGCCGCTGCCTGCAGGAGGAGGATGTGAATGCCAGGGAAGAGAAACGGGGCTTGGAGGAAACCTCATCAGCAGCAGGTCCCTCGCCAGCACAGCCACAGCTACTTCAGAAGCACTTAGAAACATTTACCATGTAACGGTATCTGTTGAATAGAAGGGGAAGGAGAAGTAAAAAGAATTAAGATGTGTGAAGCACTGTACCGACTCCCCACAGTGAACGTGAGCACTGTGTGATCCGAACGTGTCCTGATGGCAATTTTTTAAACTGGCGCTGTTGCTCTATGTATCCATTTTCGTTTTATTTTTCCCTAGAAATTCACTTGCATTGTATTCAACAGACACATCTGTCTGCAGCGGGTGATGTGTACATTGGCAGAATGGATGCCCCTAGCACTTCCGAGTGTTGGCCTTGGCCCTGGCCTGGCTTGCTGTCTTCTCCCACTCAGAAATCTCTGCCCTGACCAGAAGAGTGAGCTTCACTGAGCTTGCAAGACCCTGCTAATAGCCAGTGGGGTCCTGGGACATTTTCCTTACTGTCACATGAAGAGGCTTGGAGGGAGGCTCGAGGGTGAGGAAGGAGACCCGGAGTCACTTAGCTTTTACGGAGAGCCACTGACACCCAGCAGAATGAACCCAACACGTGTGAATGACGAAAGAGGCCCCAGCATCACCACAGGGCAAAGGGCCGGCTCTGAGTGCTAGGAGAGGAAGGGAGCTGGTGCGTGTGTAGGACACATCTTTATTCTTTTTTGTCCATCTCCTTTCCCTTTCCACCCTCTCCTTTTTTTTTGGAAAATATTTGTAGTGCATAATGACTGTCCTCACAGCAACTTGGTATGTGTACACAGCACATCACAGTTCCTCTCTCTTCTTTTTTTAAAATCCTATTCCCCCTCCTGCTCTTGATTCCCTTCCTCTATACAAAAGGTTATCCTGATATTTGCTATGATCTGCTTTCTTTTATTTTGCGCTTCATTTATACTTTGAGTTTCTCATAGCAAGAGAAACCATGCACGATAAGCTTATGTGTTTGATTTATTTCACCTAGCAGACCTTCTGAGAGAAAGGAGGAAGCAGTGATGTTTAGGGCTTGACAGTGCTCTGGTGTAAATTCTTCCCCTATGGCCGATGCAGTGTGACTGGGGAGGACAGCGCGTGTCTAGTTTCTCTCGTACAGACGCATGACACATAAATAACCCCGGGGCACAGGTGAGTGTAAAATTCAGTAGTTAGTGAGAGTAAATATTTGCATGTATTGTGTCTATGCTGGCCTGATAGTTTTAGAACAGATTTTAGAGCAGTTATTGCTTTGGATTTTTAATGGACCTTTCTCTTTATCCTACTTAAATGTAACTTCATGTTAATATGTGCCCATATTTAACACAGCTCCAACCTTCCTGAAATTCAAGAGCTAGTTCAAGCCATCCTCAGGGCTCACCACAGGCAGGTAACTGGGAGCAGCCAGGTCCTGTGGGCTCCCCCACTTCCCACGCACCCAGGCTGCCTTCGCCCGGTCCTCCCAGGGACCCCCCGGGCCTCATCTTCCTCTCTGTACTGTAGGAACAGTCAGTGAACTGATCTCGAAGAGCTCCGCGCTCCCCAGATAATGAGCGGACAAGTATTAAGCTTCACCAGTACACTTTCCCCGATTATGTTAGGAAGAAATTTTGTCCAAGTTCGATCCCCAGTACCAAAAAGAAAAAAAGAAATTTTGTTCTAAATGTCTCTCATTAGAGCCTTTGAAGTGCTACAAAGGTAGAGAATGAGATGCTTATTTGTTGCACCTTAAATATTTTCATTTATTTTGTCTACACTGGCCTGATCATTTTAGAAAGAACAGCTTTTAGAAATAAGGTAGAGCTGTGCTTTTATGTAAACAATTTGGTAAGATAAATAACATCCTCATTTAGTAGGGTTGGGAGATATTTGAACCACTTTAATACTTGCAAGTGTTTTAAATGGCTCTTACTACATCATTTGTTATGTCTTTTATAATTTATTCACTATCGAATCCATGGCCAGAAGTGTAACCCTAAACCACGATATCGTCCTAGTTGGCAAATACAGTCCAATTTATGGCTGCCTCAAATTCATTTTGGCAAGAAGCAGAAACAAATAAACTTGTTTAAATCTCACTTTTAAAAAAATTATCATTACAGAAATATAGCACTCTCTCATTTTGACTCAGGATAAAACAAAATGGTACATGAAAAGTAAATAATGCAAAAAACAGATGTGGCCTTTAATGCTATTGTTTATACTTGCATAAAGCCATTTCACTACTATACTTCCTTGTAAAAATGCAGAGTGAAAAGGAAATGGAAATTGTGGTTGCTGAAGTTTCCTTGAAAATGGCATCACTAGGAAAGCAACTGAGGAAAGCTGTTTCGGTGATGAAGAAGGTGTTTACCTGCTGGGGGTCCCCCGGTGCCATCCTCCAGGACAGTGCTCTCCTCCTCGGTCTCTAACCAGCCACCTGGGGTCCTCGGTGCCTGGGCCAGGCGCTGGGGCTGCTGCACGGAGCTGAGACACACATCCATGACCCGGCCTGCAGAGAGGAAAGCGTTGGACAGGGCCGGAGCTGCTTGCCCAAGTCAAGGCTGAGGCCCTGGGAGGGATACAAAAGGTGTAGCTTATCACCTTAGCACCTGCTGAGCTGCAAAGAATGGCTGCCTTTCAGCTCAGTTCCCTGGCTGAAGGAAGCAGCTGCCCAAGGAGCTGCCATCTGATTTTGCTGAGCCTGAAACAGGGAGGACACCGGACCCAGCAGGTGGTTGTGCGTGAAGAAACACAAGCATCGGGCGTACCCTGGAGCAAGCGCTGCTGCAGGGTGCTACTGCGAGGCTGCTACCGGCCACACTCTCCTTTCCTATCCCCTTCCACCCATCTCTGAGCCGCACAGGTCCATAACTTCCAGAGCTACATTTCAGTAAGGAAATCCACCCAGCATTACAGACCATCACGAGTGACTGTATTTATGGGTTAAAGACATCCTGGGTGAGCAGCTGGGGCGTGCAGCAAACAGAAGCCTGCTCTCCTTTCATCTGAGGAGGCTGGGTTGGAGGAGAGTAGAATGCCTGGGCTGAGAGCCAGCAGACGGGTGTGGCTCCCCAGCCTTCACACTTGGCGACCCCTGGCTCATCAGTGAAAAGGGACAACAGTATCTGCCCCGATCATAAGGCGGTGGCAAGAACTAGAGGCGCTCAGGTGAGGACAGAAGCGCAGGAAAACTCCCACCAGATCACATCGCAGACCTGGCTGGGAACCACGAATCAACATTGCAAGAGCTGGACCCGCACCCTACGTGTGTCCTGTAAGTATCGCGACAACCAGAAAGGGGCTCTTGTCACTACCCTGTCTCTGACGAGAGACACTCAGACACGGAGAGACCAAAACCAGCACAGGACACGTCTGGCCAGTGACAGAGCCAGCTGGCAAAGCAGGACAACCGCTGCCGACCCACACAGCCAGAGCTGCTGTGGTTCTGCCTCAGTTTCCCTGGCCTGGTTTTCCCCAAAATGACTCTTGATGCTTAATGTGTCATAATTCCATGCTGTCACAGGGACTTCTTGGATCTTTCGACAAAATGTTCATGGTTTTGCTCATCTGTGGTGACGGTCCTGGGTTTATATCCACACAGAAAGTGGCCACCGTATTACTTCATCCCACTGAGAAAGTAATGAGACATCTCAGGCAGACTGCTGCCGCAGGCTCAGCTCTGCTAAAATCCAACCCTAGCTCAGCGACTGGACCGGGAATTGCCCCAGGCACATGGTGCACTCCTACCCCTTCTCACACCTGCAGATTGCTGTGGCCACTTTCAGGGAACAGGATTTCACAGAAACAAGACTGTGGTGGTCACAGCGCAGCATTTTTGTGAGCTCTAGTATTAAATCATCACATGCTTACCTCAAATCTCCAAATCACCAGACCAGCCAAAAGTGCTCTGTCAGTCTGTGCTTCACACACGGATGTGTTTTCTCCTGTAAATGCAGACTTGCTCCTTTTCAGCTGTTCCGTGATTCCTGGAAGTCAGTGATTCCACCTAAAAATAGCAGATTGGGTTATGGGACAGTACTTAGAAGCTCCAGTGGAGACATCTGGGCCCTGCGGAGAAAGCCTGTGTTAGAGTCTCAGCCCTGCCTTGTGCAACCTATGTGGTAGTCCGTGCACATCTGCCATCACCTGCTGTTCTCGTCCCCAGAGTCACAGAGGAGACCTGCAGCAGGACACTGTGCAAAACCCTATCCCCCGCTGTGAGACACTGTGCCCTGAATTCAAGACATTGCTTCATTTTCATGCGCGGAAAGGAAAACAGTTTTCAATCCAACACCGGGAGATGATTTTCCTCGGCACTCCCCATTATTGTAGTAGTTAGTATGAGAAATTTATTCCTCCCAAAGACAGCTACGCCATGGAAAGCAGATCTAGAAAAGAACTGCTGCCATGCCCAGGCACTTGGTGCCTGTTATTAGTTGGAAACATCCTATTAGCTATATCCTGTATTAGTATTTATTTTGAAGAATTGGACAGTCAAAGGACTCGTTAGTGCCTTCAAAATCATTTTGAACAGTTAGTTTAAATGGATCTTTACCTTATGGAGCAGAAGAGATTTAAGGTTTCTGTGAACTCTTTAATCCCCAATGTTTTATATAGGTTTACATCTGAGAGGATTAGCTTCTTGTGAACAAAAGCCAACCAGTGGAAGTTCAAGTTATTTAGAGTAGCATTACCCACCAGCGCTCACAGACATGTTACTTTGCTAGGACTCTCTCTCTCTCTCTCTCTCACACACACACACACAGTCTTTGCAACATGAGTACATTGCCCTCAAAACATCCCAAAATCTTTCTCCAGATGCCAGGATAGTTTCAAATGTAGACTTCTACTTCACATTTTAAAGCAGGAGGGGCAGGGAAGGCGGGGTATTCCAGAGCCTGCAAACTCTGCTCATCAGCCAGACACCTGGGGCTCCAAGGTGGGGCTCACCTGTCCACTGTGGATTCTGTGTGGGACCCTGAGCCCAGCTGCCAGAAATGAGCCTCCATCAAGAGGAAGGAAAACATTTGCAAGGAAGGACAAGGGGCAGCTTTAAAGGTTTAACAATCCCATCTAGAGTATTTAGGAGGGGAGGAGGAGTAGGACCTCAGAAAGACTCTTCCAAGAGAAAATTAAGCCATTGTCAATTATTTGCTTAAAATAAGAGACAGTGGAAAGGAAAAGAGGAAACTCATGCTTATTTTTGAAGCTTGGAAAACCTTACAACAGGATATGTAAAGTAAACCCTCAGGCAAATGGGAATTACTGAATTCTCACTTAGGTTAACCAGTGAGGTGAATGGATAGTGGTTTATAGAAAAGCCAGTGTTTTGTTTCGTTTTGCTTAACCTTAGTACTCACTTCTCTCCCATCACTATCTTGTGTTCTCTGTATCCATTTCCTTAAACTTAGGAGCTCTATATGGGTGTGCTGGGGTGCATAACTCCCAAGTCTTCTTCTTCCTTGCTCCTCTGCGAAGGGAGACTTGGCCTTTCCCAACCTAGGGTTTGAATACTCTCTCTTCTCTGTGACTGCGTCCTGCATTTCGGGCGCTCAGTGCCACCGCTGTCCTTAGACAAAAATAGTAAAAGTATGATCATCATTTCAGTTCGACTTTGAGAAACTGCAGTTCATATGAACATGCACAGGTTCATAAGCTCTAAAATGAAGAAAAGAAAAAGTATTAAATCATTCATCCCACTACCAGAAAACAGCCTAACATTCTTTGTATCAACTTCTACAGTTTTAATTTTTTATATGTTTACTAAAAAGCTATTTTACTGAAAAAAGAGCCTGCAGAGAAATATGTACCTCTTTGACCTGGTCTCCTATTACTTTAAGAGTTTATTTTTAATATTTTCTACAAAAGCCATCTTTTGGGCTGCTGCTTTAAGAAATAAATCACTACTCTATTTCCTGGAGCTGAAATGCGTGAGATCAGAGGTTCCTAAATACTAGCTGGTCAGCAGCTGTGTCAGAATTTCCCGGAAGTGTTAGAACCAAGACTCCAGGCTCCTGGAAATGCTCATCCAAAGGGTTGAGAAGGAGCCTAGAAGTGGGAATCCAGTCCAAGAGTCCTTCTGGCATGTGCTACAGGACTTGGCACTTGTGCATTGGTGTTAAATGTGCATCTCCATGTGGCCGGGCCACCTCAGGAAAACACCAGAGCTCTGAGAGGGACGGCAGGGGACATGCGGGCTATTTTCTCATAGATCCAGTGGCAGCCCATAAAGAGGGATTAGGCCTTCTGCAGGCCCCGGAGGGCTCACTGATGAAGTAAGCTCCCACAAGGCAGGCGGGCTCAGTAGGAAAGAACTTTCTAACAAGTACAGCCGAGGTGGAACAACTGATCCCAGGGAGGCTGGCATCCTGGAAAGTGGGCCAGCCTGGCATCAGAAGACCGACCGGGGGAGAGGTTTCAACAGGATCACTCGGGTTGTGCCCCACAGCTCAGACTTCTGATGGTCACTGTACTTTGGGGGCCACACCCTGCTGTCTCCCCTTGTTCTCTTGGGGGAGTCCATCCCTCCCCACAGAGGATGTTGGGCAAACTGGGGGCAGGGGCCATCTGTTGGGGTTGTTAGGGCTTGTGTTTAGCTGAACCCCCAAAGCCTCATGCAGATGAGATGGGACTTACTTTTCAGAGGTAGTTGAATCGAGTGTGTGATGCTGGGGTTAAGAAAGTATGATCACTAAACCCCTACATGTGAGTGATTGGTTTGGCACCGCCCTAACCCCAGTAGATCTTCTGAATAAGATAAAAGGGGGCAGAAAGATGCTGTTAAACTCTCTCCTTTCCTTTGCTACCCTGTGTTTTGCTATCCACATTTCTCTTCTGCGATGCCCGTTTGCCGTCCCAGCCTCGGAGCCAGCTGATTAGGGACTGAAACCTCTATGAACTGTAAGCCAAATAAACCTGTTCCCCTTCAACTTTGGTTGGCAGGTATTTTGTCTCAGCAATGAGAGAAAAGTAGCTGACACAGAGGTGTGATGCTTCTGGCAGGAAATGCACACAGCCAGGATGCATAGGGCAGTGCTCAGGGTGAAGAGTCACCAACCCCAGATGTTCACAGTTCCGACTTCCTGAAGCCCTGGGCCAGGCAGCAGCTCAGAGTTGTCACGCAGGATAAATTCTAAAGGCATTGACCAGGTGGTGACTTGGGCAAGCATCTTCCTCCGGTCCCCAGGTGGTCATCTGTGAAATGGAGGCACATTCACATTTACAGACCCGTTATCATCTGCCAAGCATCTTAGCAGCCTCTGTCTTAGTCTGGTTTCTACAAAAAGCAGACCCGGGACAAAGATGTGAACAAAGCCATTTTGTAGCTCTTCAAAATGGATTTTTCCTCACAGAAATGTTATTGTCATTTTATTTCTAGAAAAATCTCCAACTGCGACTGTGTGTAAATCACAATTTGCAATCCTCAGGCCTCATGTTACCACAATAGACAAGAATGCTTTGGGGTGAGCGATCAGACTGTCGTATTAATTACACAGAGGAATGTCGGGCTTGGGAAACAAGCTTGGATGAGAGATTCTGACAGGAAACATCTTCAAATTAAAGTTTTAGTTTTCTATTGCTCCTGTTTTAAACTTCAATAAATAACAGCTTTCTGAAGCTCCACTTAACCTGAGGACAAAAGCAGCCACAAAGTTATCAGGCAGACTGATTCAGCTTTGAGACTAACTGAGGAGACAGGATGGTACCCAAAAGTTGTTTCACAAAATAAAGTTAAAATAGAAGCAACTATGTATTCTGTCCTCCAAAAGGCATAGGAGTGCAGGAGTCGGCCCACCGGTTTTCTGTGAGGGCCACTTGGAGGGAGGCGGAGAGCACAAACCGCCCAGTGGCTGCGACTCCCAGCCACGCTGCCCGTGGAAAGGCCTCCAGCACCATCTGTTTTTCCCGAGTGCCACGAGCAGCCGGGCAATGGCATTCTCCCTCCGCGGGACTTAGCTGCAACAAATCATGCTCTGATTTTAGCAACAGCAGGTGACCACTGTTCCGAAAGATCATTTTTTCCCAACAGATTTCTATTAGGAAAGAATGTGTTTACCTGCTGGAGTTATTCTGGGACGTTCCGCAGAGGGGATGCCTTTCGTCCTTTCCCCTTGTGTTGTAAGAGGCTGCGGGGAGCAGGCGGAATCAGTGAAGCGCCCGTGCCAGGTGGAGGGGCCGGAGTTCTCCCCCGACTTTCCGACTTCGTCGCCCGAGACAAGTCACTTAATCCGCTTCTCTTTCTATTGGAAGCCATGAGACCGTTGGTATATCTGCTCCGGAAGGGTCTGGAAGGAAAAACCGCTGGCCAGAGCTCTCCTCTGCCCTGGGCAGAGCAGGCATGATGGGACCGGTCCATCCAGTTGCCTCATTGGCGGAGCTGCGTCACGGCCCACGGCCGCCCTGGCTGGTGGCCTGCAGCCAGCAGATCTTACCTGGTCCAGACAAAGCTTCATGGGGAAAGGGGCTGAGATGTCGGGGTCTTGTTAGCTCGTGACTCTGGCATAGCCTAACTGGTGCTGCGCACGCACGTGCATGCATGCCTGTGTGCGTGTGTGTGTGCGCGTGTGTGCGTCACACTTGTCAGACCACGATAAGGTCTGAAAAGTACAGGACACATACAGGGATGCGAGTGGGGTTTGAGGAAGAAGGAATTAAATGGGATCCAAGAAGAGAGTGGTAAACAAATAGTGATAAAAGAGATAAAGCCCGGGTTTTAAAAAAAAATCACTTGTGCTATTTCTATGTTAATGGTAAGTGTACCTTGATGGTTGCATTTTGGATAGGTTTTCTTGCTTTGTTACACTCAGTGTGACTCCAGACTCCTCCAGAAAGGTTTATCTAGCAGTGGTGCCAGGGAACAGGAAGAGAGACCAGGAAGGAAGCCAGTATAAGGCTGCCTTGTGCAGTCACAATCCAAACCCTACCACAGCCTTCAGCTAACTCTTTAGAATCCTCCCTCCCTCTTTCTCTCTCCCCTCATCACCCTGTCATTTCTATCTCTATTTTTATTCTCATTTATTGTTACAGCTAACTATAGTTTCACTGACTCTTATTTAAACAAATGGGGGAAAAGAAACCCTGAAACAGGATGAATGTAAAGTGGGAAAATTGTACAAATCACAAAATAATTCCTGGTGCATCAGTTAAAGGAGGGATTAGTCAATGGTACTCCTCAATGCAAGGTGTGGCAGACTTGGCTCGGGACCATCAAGGTAGATGGAGGTGGACAGACCACAGCAATGGGATATTGGAGTCAGAGAGAATGGACTCAACTCCAAATACAGTCCAGGCAAGCGAGAATTACAGTCAAGGAGCAGTGGGGCCAGTGGATGGAAAGTTAACGAGGAGGAAACGTCAAGGGTGAGGGGGATTGTATTATGCCAGTCTCACCTAAGTCTACCTGAAGGCGGGCTCAAATGACAGACATCACCAGTGGTGGTGGAGACAAAGGAACCTGAGGCGCTAGGGAGACCAATCAGCTATGGAGCACATTTGGCTCCGGCTGATCTGACTTGGCAGACTTTTTGCCACAATTGATTTTATAAGGAAGTGTGCAGATAGAGCTGTAAGGTTCAGGAGCCTGGTTAAACTTTGCCCAGGCCGAGAATCTTTGCAGGCACTGTAACAGGCTGACACTGCCCCATGGTAGCGAACATTAACAGCCTCTGCAGAGCTCTGGGATTAACAGTGACATTTGCAGTTTTTCATTGCATAGATTTCCAGCGCCACTGTCAATGATAAGAAATGGGTCTCCTTTTCAATGCCACCCAATGTGTGCACAGCTATGTTTCAGTTTTAAAAAATTCATAAGCATTATTGCATTTGATGTGCATAGCAATTGAATAGCATTGTCATTGAGACTGAGGACAGAGTAAGGAAGAGAAGAGTTTCCTCCTTGCTGATCACCTATCCGGGTCAGCATGATGCTCACAGGACAGTAATCTTTATCAGAGAGAAAATGAAAACATTGAGTCAAATAAAAATCACTTCATCCATGCAAGAAATAATTGATGAGCCCAACTTCATTAAAATTCAAAACTCAGCTCCATGAAGGACACCACCAGAAGTAGAAAGGTAAGTCACAGACTGGGAGAAAATACTTGTGAGAGACAAATCCGATAGAAGATTGTTGTTCAAAATGTGGAAAGAATTTTTCACATTCAGCAACAAGAAAATGAGCAAATCATTTTAAAATGAACCAAAAAATCCTAACTGGAAACTGTAGAAGACATGCAGATGGCAGATAAGCATACGGAAAGATGTTCAATGCCATAGGTCTTTAGGGAAGAGCAATTAAAATAAGATGCTAGCGTACATGTCTTAAGCAGGCCAAGTCCAGAGAACTGACATCACCAAGTGCTGGAGAGGACGAGGAACAAGAGGAAGTCTCAGGCATTGCTGGTAGGGATGCAGAAGTGTGCAGCCACTGTGGAAGACACTTGGGTGGTTTTTTACAAACCTAAACCCACACTTCCCGTGGGACGCCGCAGTCACCCTCCTTCACATTTACCCAAATGAGCTGGAAAGTTACGTACACACAAAAACCTGCACGCTGATGTTTAAGACAGCTTTTCTTACAATTGCCAAAGCTTGGAAGCAACCAAGACGTCCTTCCGTAGGTGAAGGACTAAACTGTATTACATCCAATGGAACATTTCTCACTGTTAAAAAGAAACATGCTACCAAGCCATGTGAAGGCATGAAAGACCCTTAAATGCGTATTATTAAGTGAAAGAAGCCAGTATGAAAAGACTACATATTTCATGACTCCAGCTAACTATGTGACAGCCTGGAAAAAGCAAGAAAATAAAAAAATCTCTGTCGAGGAAATAAAAGGACCAGCAGTTACTAATGGCGGAGGGATGGGGGAATGAGGGGAAATAAAGAACATGAAATATTTTCTTTCCTCAAGTTGACTGGTACATTTTAGGCACACATTATAATCACATCCATCATTGGGAATTTGTACCTGTACATGATATGTCTTGGCTCTTGTTTTTTCTCCATTTCCCTGCCTTCCTCCCCTCCACCCCTCCCTATTTGCAAAAACTTTGTTTCTGTTTTTTCCTTCTTTTCTCATATTTTTTCTTTCTCTTCTTTTCTTTATCCATCCCCGCTCCCTACTTCCCCTTCCCTTTTGGACCTTCCTATTTTACACTATCTTTTATACATGTTGGTCCTCTTTTACACTTGTAGGTTCTCTCACACCAGAGAAACTATTCAGTATTTACACACGTGTGTCCTATGTATTTCACTTAAGAGTATGACCTCAATGTGAGTCCATTTAGCTATAAATATCCCTAGTTTATCATTCTTTATAGCTGAGTAGTGTTCCATTTTACAGAAAAAGAAACCCACATCTTCTTTATCTAATTTCCATTTGATGGGCATTTGAGCTGTTTCCAAGATTTAGCTATTACAAACTGTGCTGCTATAAACATGGGTGCATATATATCACTGTGGTGTGATGCTTTTAATTCTTTTGGGAAGATATCCTACAGGGGAATAGCTTGGTCAAGTGAGACCTCCAATCCTAGTTGTTTGAGGAATCTCCACACTGATTTCCACAGTGGTTGTATTAGGCTGCACTCCAACCCACAGTGGAGAAGGGTTCCCTTTTCCCCACAACCATGCCAGCACTTGTTATTGGTTGATTTCATGATAGCAGCCATTCTTTGTGGAGTTAGGTATAATCTCAGCATTGCTTACATTTGTATCTCTCAAATGACAGTGATCTTGAACCTTTTTGCGTATGTATATTTGTTGTTTCGACTTCTTTGTCTGAGAAATGTCTGTTCATTTCAGATGCCCAATTTTGAACTGGGTCTTTAAATTTGGAGGGTCTGATTTTTAAAATTCTTTATATATTCTATATAGTAGATCTTTATCTGAGAAACCAGCAACAAAGTGAAGAGACAGTCACAGTGTGGGAAGCACACAGAAGATTTTCCAGGCAGTGGCTCTACACTGTGTGATACTGTAATGTTGCCTATGTGGTATACCTTTGTCCAAACAGAAAGCACATTAAGGGTGAGTCCTAATGCAGAGCATAGAGTTTGGGTGATAATGCTGTGTCAATAGAGGTTCACTGATTGTTACAAATGCACTATTCTGGTGCAGGATGTTGATAGTGG